ACACATGGAGGAGTTTGGTAATCCATGTAAGATAAGCTATTTTTAAACTTTGAATAAAAAATCTGCCCAACTTACCAAAATGGCTTTCAGATCCCCCCTAGTGTAGACATTTTCAGATGGAATTATGAGGCAGAAAGAGTTACAAACAATAACATCAAAATGAAGAAGCAAAAAAACCACAATAACAGTCTATGAATAAAGTCATCCTGAGGGCAATTGTAGCACTACAGCACTGTCCTCTCATTGTTCACTGATTTACTGAGCGGGCCCAGTAACATCTCCATTGTGAGACTTGTTGTTACAGTGTTTGGCATATCGAATACGTCATGGGTAGCTTGCCAGGCTTTGCCATACAGGCGAGATACTCTTGGTAGCTTGCTGGACTCTCTGAGAGAGGTGGAGGAATCGAACCTGGGCCAACCGGGCCGGCCGCATGCAAGGCAAACACCTTACCTGCTGTGCTATCGCTCCAGCAGAGGCAGAATGTGAGCACAGCCCTTTCACAGACTATGTAACCCAGCTCTGTGCCATCACACCCCACCTTCCCATGGCTGTACCCACTCCCTTGCTTCTCATGACACTTTGGGAGCTGCTCTTCAGAGGCACATTTGCAAAGGGATAAAAACCACCTGGGGCACATGAAGAGGGGAAAGGAGGAGCACCTCGAATGTTCCAGCCAGAGATTTCCAGAACAGCATCTCTGTTCCATGTTAAGCACTTGGCCTCTAAGCACTCTGGGCTGTGAAAAACTTGCTGTCCTTGGCATGAGCCAGAAAATGTCCAAATCCAGGGACTGGAGCGATAGCACAGTGGGTAGGGTGTTTGTCTTGCACGCAACCAACCCAGGTTCGATACCTAGCGTCCCATAAGGTATCCCCAGCACTGCCAGGAGTAATTCCTGAGTGCAGAGCCAGGAGCAACCCCTGAGAATGCTGGGTGTGACCTGAAAAAAAAAAGGAAAAAAAGGGAAATGTTCAAATCCAGTGTGTATTCCCCTAGCCTGTCCAAATCCAGTGTCTTATAGTTGGATATAGTATTCCCCTAGCCTGTCCAGGCAGCAAAGTAAAATGGCACCTGGTATTAAAACCCCTTGCCCCAGAAGACAGTGCTTTTGAGTATATGATGATAAAGACCTGGCTTTAATTTTCCTGGAGTCTCAATAAGTGTGGATAAATTATTTACCCCACCTGGGCTACCTGGTTTCATTTCAGCATGTCAGCGTTCATCATGGAAACTCATTCTCTTAGTATGGACGGGTGGAGGAGGCGGGGGTCTCTTCCCTCCTCCTCGGGGGCCCGTGTGACAGCCATTCCCTCCACTTCCGTCTCCGACTGTTGCTATGCTGCTTTCGTGTAGTCTTGGCTACTGGGTACAAGTCTAAAAGATGAATGAATTTCATTCTGTCTTTAAATATTTATGTTTCTTTATGACATAATATATCATCCTGGTTATGGGAATTCCCCCCGCCCCCATGCACACACACACATACACATATACCCTAAATGTAGAAAATACACCATCAGTTACCTGTCAATTTTGTTTAATAACTTAGCTTTGCAGTTCTCGGCCACTGCTCTCCGGAAGCTCTTGAAGACTCTAGTGGTCTCTGGGATTTATAAAGGTCTTCACTGTGCAGAGGCTATTGAAACATTAAGGCCTTAAGTGCCTGCCCTTTATCACAGTCACACAGGAGGATCCGGGGCTAGAAACCCAGACATCTTTGTTTTGTTGTTTGCTCCCAGCATGGAACGGTAGCCTCTGTAGAAAAGCAGCCTGTATCCCTGGAAACAATTCATCAGATTTTTCAAAAGAAATCCAATTTCATCTGGGCTGGATGGGTTCCACTGTTGCTTCTTTAGGACCGCTGATGAAAATATCAACATCCTCAATCAAAGAAGCCCCGTTCTCTGGCTTGAATCTCCACGGAAAGCATCACTTACTGCGTTTATCTCTCCTTTCCTTACGTGCTTAGGTTCTTGGCTTGAGGAAACAGAAATTATCCTGTGACTATTTCTATTCCAGAAAGACTGGTGTAAGGCTCTGCCCTGTCCCAGAACCTTTGGGTATCGCGCTCTCTGCAGATGAGGGCCTCAGGTTCTGTTTTCCCAAACTCCCCTAGGCACCCCGCACCTGGAAAGCCACCAGGCTAGAACAATCCACGATCAAATACCTTCTGGGTCTGGAAGAACCGAGGCCCCAATTCCTTTTTATTCCATGTTATAAATCTAAATTTGTAGTTGTGCTCTTCTTGAGATATTTTTTAAATGTTTTTAAGGTGGTTCCCCTGTTGGACAGCTCCACTCCTCCGAGTACCCAAGGAACCCCAGAGTGAACAGACCCTGGGGTGTAGGAAGGAAGCCTCAGGAGAAGAAGGATGTGTTTTTCAGTGTTAATTTCTCTTGTAAAAATATTTTTTAAATTGCAACAAATGTAGTGTAGATAAATTGTTCACCTGAATTTTAGGCTAAACCTTAATCTTCTTTTTTTTTTTGGCTTTTTGGGTGACACCTGGTAATGCTCAGGGCTTACTCCTGCCTCTGCACTCAGGAATTACTCCTGGAGGTGCTCGGGGGACCATATGGGATGCCTGGAATCAAACCCAGGAGGTCGGCCACATGCAAGGCAAACACCCTGCCTGCTGTGCTATCGCTCCAGCCCTCTAAACCTTAATCTTAAAAAAAAAAAATCTTCATTTGCCTCCATGAGGTTCCCAGACACCTCTGGAGGTTAGAGTTCACCAGTGTCTTAAGTCAATACCTCCTATATCAGAGATCACCAAATTTATTTGGCCTTCTGCTCCCTTTTCAGGAAAAAAAAAATCATTCAGCAAGGCCGGGAGGGGACCCACACCCACACAATTGCTCTGTCACTACCACCAATACCTTGCCTCACCCTCTGATTATTCCAGCGTCTTCCTTGGGGCCGTATTGCTCACAAATACTAGGCTAGATCTAAAGTTTGGTGTTTCACTAATAAAAGTTAAGAGAGAGAGAGAGAGAGAGTATGTTGCATTGTTCTCCCCTTTGAACCTTCCAGAACATTCATCGTTCTGCCCTGAATATTTATTCTAATGCATGTTTCTCTTATAGACTCTTTATTCCACCACTCCGGGCCAGTGGCCTCAGAATTCAATGACCCTGAACTTCCCAACTTTTTGTTTCGTTTAGTTAGTTTCATTTGGGGACTACATCCAGCAGTACTTGGGGACTCTCCCGGGCTGGGTGCTCCAGAGTGACCCTGGAGGTGCTCTGGGACCATATCTGGTGCCGGGGATTTGGGTAGGGGTCAGCCACATGCAAAGTGAGTGCCTTACCTCCTGTACTATCTCCCTGACACTCAAGTCAACTTTGTGCTATCTTGGAATGTACAACTTGGAATGGCGCCGCACAGACCCTGGTGGGTGGAAGGGAGAGCCCCTAGTTCTCACCCCACAGTTCTTGATTGACTTCCCTGACCTGTTATCACATCTCCGTCTTCTGTCCTCTCCACCCTGTACCGGTACTCTCCACAGCTATGCTGCTTGCACAGTCACACAGGGTTATTACTCTACCCTGCCCTTTATTCCTGCACTTTCCTTTTATTTATTTATAATTTTTTGGCTTTTTGGGTCACACCTAGTGATTACTCAGGGGTTACTCCTGGCTCTGCACTCAGAAATTACTCCTGGTGGTGCTTGGGGGACCATATGGGATGCCGGGGATCAAATCTGGGTCAGCGCCATGCAAAGCAAATGCGCTCCCCACTGTAGTATTGCTCCAGCCCTCCCTCCTTAAAGTTTCCTTTGCAAGCCCTGCCTGACAGTGTTCTTTCCTTTGTGAATGACATAGGCCCTGGAGCCTTTATTCTCCGCTCAGTTTGGCATGCTTTCTCCTTCCCTTGCTGGCCTTCAGAACTCTCACGCATCACTTTCAGCCCATGGAAACTTACTTTTTTCTATTTTCTAATTTTGTTTTTTTGTATTTTGGGGTTTTTTGTTTTGTTTTGTTTTGTTTTGTTTCCACACCAAGTAGTTCTCAGGGCTTTCTCCTGGAACTGTACTCAGAGATCACTCCTGGCAGTACTCAGGGGACCATATGTGGTGCTGGGGATTGAACCCAGGTCGGCTGCATACAAGACAAATGCCCTACCCATTGTACTATCTCTCCAGCCCCATATTCTTCTCTTTTCAATAATATTTTGAATCAGTAGAGCAGGAGCCCTGCCTCGGAGTGAGAGACTTGGATCCCATCCTGGCATGGCCTTGTTCTCCCTGCGACAAGGGCCAAGACTTCCCACCTATCTGGTCTTCAGTTTTGTCATCTGAGGATGGGGAGTAACAGCTCTCTCCAAAGAGTGAGGACTCAGGCATCGCACCTTGAAATTCTCTTCGTCCACAGAAACAGAACCCACTTCTCGCCACCTTGCCTGCTTGTCTTTGAGCCCCTGAGAGGCAAGAGCTTTGTCTTGCTCATCCTTACTTTCCGCAATCACTATAATACAATAACTACCTCATTATCATATTACTAATAATCATTGTTTATGAAGCATGTGGAATTGGGTCAGGCACCCTTCCAAATGCATTAGCTGATTAATTCTTCCAATAACCCTAGGAGCTCAACACTGTGATTTTCCTAGTTTGTGGTAGGGAAAAAAAAATAGCCTATATATATCTCACAGAACATCCAGTGACTGATCCAGTGGTTTAGACAAAAGTGATTGGTCTTGCCTGTGTGATTATTTCTCCTCCTCTTGTTCCTGGACCTCCTCTTCTCTCTCCTTGGCTCTCCTAAGGACAACCTGAGTGATTGTAGACAGAAGAAGGGAGCTTCCCCCCCGGGGTCTCTATTTAGACCCAGGCTCGTGAGGAAAGAGAGCTTAAGGTGCTCCAGGGAAACAAGGGCCAGGCCCCTCTGGTGTTCTAGAATATTCCACTGGCCCAGAACCAGGTCCAGCGTGTGGTAAATTAGGATTGACTGACTGAGAGAACTCCGTGATGACCACTGTGCTGTCCTCCCCTGCAGGCAGTACTATGAGATGCTGTACAACACGGCCGACGAGCTCCTGAACCTGGTGGTGGACCAGGGAGTGAAGTACACGGAGCTGGAGTACATCCACGCGCTGACCCTGCTGCACCGCAGCCAGACGGGCGTGGGGGACCAGACCACCCAGAACATGAGGCTGCAGCGGCTCAAGGAGATCATCTGCGAGCAGGCCGCCATCAAGCAGGCCACCAAGGACAAGAAAATAACCACAGTGTAAAGGGGCATGCTGGGGGCCGGTGGGTGGGGGCGGGGCAGTGACGGCAACCCTCTTTCTTAGCACACTCCTTTCTTTGCTCTGCTCTGAGCCGGCTTGGTTTTCTCTGCGGATAAAGTGAAGGTGCCAAGAGTTTTCATTTTGACTTTATCTCTGTGCTTAAGTGTTGATGGGGAGTGAGGTGGGGGGGTGGGGGGGAGGTGTCAGAATTCAGAATGTTTTGACGGACTGTAACGCAGTCAGTTCCAGGGCGCTAGGTGGATGGCGAGGCAAGTATCCGGTTGTTGATTAAAACCCAAGTGACAAAGGTTTCTTGGACCGGAGCTATAGTACAGTGGGTAAGGCGCTTGCCTTGCATGCAGCCAACCTGAGTTCAATCCTCAGCATCCCATGTGGTCCCCCAAGCACGGCCAGGAGTAATTCCTCAGTGCAGAGCCAGGAGTAACCCCTGAGCATCACCGGGTGTGACCCAAAAAGCCAAAAGGAAAAAAAAAATGTTTTGTTTCTCATTCTACCATCTTTTGGAAAGTAGATGGTTGCTTAAGCTTCATTCCGTTCCTGCAGCCACTCACTACAGTTCAGTGCTATAAACAAGAGGATTTCTTTCCTCTCTTGACCCTGTCTCTTTCCAAGATATAAGGGGAGGTGCCTTGACTTCCCTCTCTATTGCCAAGTCAAATCAGTGGCTTCTCAGCTGGCTTATTGTTTTCTACACTCTTTCAACAAGACAGGATGTCTTTGGACCCAGAGAGTAATATTCTTTATCTCAGTCCCTGCCAGACTTCGTATGCAGTAACTTGTACACAAGTCGCTGGTTGATTTATTGCCATTTTTTCCCATGCAAGACCAAAAGCCATCAAGTTAGTGAAAGAAAAGTGGAAGCATGAAGGATGATTCAACTTTCTTCTAGATCTTCCCTCCTTACTTTCCAGGGGAAAGAAAGGATGAGTAGGGAACATTGGATCCCACATGAAAGTGACTGATTATTCGATGACGGTCTTTCTCGCCTTGGAGAGTAGCTCCACCATGCTCGGCTGAAGGGAGAGGCCAGGGCACAGTCTTTACAATTGTCCTCTATTTGTGCCCCATTTCTCAAGTTCTCCCTGGGGTTGTGGTCCCTCCTCACTCCTGGGCCCCAGCACTGTCCCCAGGCCTCCATGCCTTCTTGCCACCCACAGTTGATATGTCATGGAAGAAAGCTATGCACTGACAAGGATGTGGGATGGGGTGTCAAGGACCTCCCCCCTCTCTTAAGAACACCTGGGAAGGAGAGCTAGATAGCAAGACCACCACTGTCATGTCTTAATGCTATGGTGGTTGAGAATTTGTCAACTGTTTGTACAACCTTTGTCTTGTTGGGAAAAGCAAAAATAAAATAAAATGCTTGGAAAAGCTAAAATGTCTTATAGTGTGCTTATTTTTCATTCGGCTAACCTTCCCCCTGGGCCTATCATGCCAAATGCTGCGAGGCCCAGTGGGGGCAGATTCCAGACAAAACAGATGCCATTATTATCCGCCCTGAAGACAGGGGATGGGAGCTGGACTCAGGTCCATCCCAGCAGGATGTTCATGCCAAGAGTTCATGTCTGTTGGGGTCCTGGCCAGTCGACCTCAGCACTCTGGAATATGATCCCCCCTGGTCGCTGGACTTACTCCCTATAGGAGAGGGAGTGGGAAGTGGAGTTGCCTCTGCCCTGACCCTCCATACACCATGGACTCCTGCCGCCATTGAGAAAGAACCACGCGGAGGGAGGAAAGCTGGTGGTCAAGCAGCAATCCGTTTATTAGCTCTCACATGGGTTTTTTATACATCTATTTCAGGGGACAGTCCATGTGTTATCACATTTTCCTTGTCAGGCTCAATACAGATATTAGTTAATGATTTACATCTCCCGCTTTCAGGGCAGGTATATTACCTCAGGTAGATGGTAACTATTATATCCCTCATCCTCAACCAGGATGCCTATGTGTGTGAAGTACTGAAGCAAGCCCCTGGGCCCCTGTAAATAGGACCGGCTCTTTCTTTCAGGGGCAGGGGATTTAGTCAAAGTCTCAGGCCAGCTACTGAGACCTCAACACATGTCCAACCATGAAGACCACTGCCTAAATGTGTACTTGCCGGCCCAAAGGCACACAAAACAGGTATGATCAGAAAGGACGCTGCGAACAAAGCAGAGCACCACCTTCTCCTCCTTCTGCAAAGCCACATGGGCCAGACAAGACTGCTCTCAGCATCCGGGGAAGCTCAGGAGGAAACATCCTGAGGTGGCCCCTGATCCTGAGGGAAGGGGATTGTTAAATTAAGGGTCCAGCCTGGTCATTCAAACACAAGCCCCCAGGGCAGTAGTTGCCCCCAGAGAGAGCATCCTCTCATTATCACGAACCGAGGGGTACTTCAAATGTTACCCCTTTTTATGTTCGACACAACCCAAATCTTAAAATTCTGCTTTCCTCTCCTCTGTGGATACAAAAATTTTTCCAGCGATGAGAAAATCTTCACAAAATCCTGCCTGGCTTAGCACCCCTCAGAGTAAACTCCTTGCAAATGAGGCTCTAACACTAAGGACAAGGTGCGACTCAGTATGCCTAGGCACGTTATGTTTTCAGGGTTTCTGATAGTGGCTTTGATCACATTGTGTTACTTTTGAAGGTCTCCGTTATCACCTGTCTTGACACCTCTTAATGCGTAAACAATACTCTGGATATTATGTTGTTTACCCCAAGAGAACAGGATTTTTTTTTTCTTCTCCAAGTCTTTAATCCTAATACAGCATTTTTATTCCTACCTCACAGCAGGGTCTTGTCATCTTATTGTCCAGCCCAAACTTTCCCCTTTTTATATTAACATACATCTTTGCCAACTGGGCGAGGACCGTCCTCGTGCTGCCTGTGTGCCCAGCTTCTGAAAGAAAAACTCGTTTTTGAAAAGACAAATTTTGCTCAATCACAGCTGTGGGACGTAGAGCAATTGTACAGCAGGTATGGTGCTGGTGTTGCCCACGGCTGACCCAGGATTGATCCCCAGCACCGTAGAGGGAGCCCTGTCAAGAGTAATCCCTGAACTCAGAGCCGGAAGTAAGCCCTAAGCACTGCCAGGTGTAGCTCAATAAAATAAAAACAAACAAAAAAAAATCACAGGGCCTGAGCCCTAGAGAATAATCCATACTTAGGGGGTCTCCACCTGGAGTCATGGCCCTCTGTCTCTGTCACTGAAGCCCTAGCCACTTATTGGAAAACTGACACTTTTCATTTTGCCTGAATATTTCCTCCTGCCTGACAGGCATTGGCTTTTATTTCTAAGGGCTAGGGAAGGAAAAACCAAATCCAGCCAAGGTGAATGGGCCACCAACCCCTGATAAGTCTTCCTAACAAATCATATCAACAAGTGTCTTCACACCAATGCCTTCCTTCATTTGGTCCCAAAGGTCTAATTTCCTGTGATGGCCACTATGATGTGGTTTATGTGGTGGTGAACACAGCCAATAGTCCCCTGGGGACATGGACTTTACCCGCCAGCCCTTTTTCTCTGGGGACATCCTGTTGTCCTTTGATTTCCCCAGACCCTCCTTCCAAGGAGGAAGATGTCCTCTGGGAGTGAGGTCTGGAATCTTCTAAATTTCCTTCCCAGGTGGGTGTTCCAGATTATGTCTCCCAGGGCTTGGATATTCACCCAGTACACCATTCATGGAGCCATTGATTTTTCCTCTGCTCAGTAGTTTTTTTTCTTTTCGGTGATGCACAGGGATTACTCCTGGTGGTGTTCAGGGGACCAGTGGTATACTCGGAATCGAACCCAGGTTGGCCTCGTGCAAGGCACATGCCCTACCCACTGTGCTACAGCTCCAGCTCCAGCTCAGTATTCTTGCTTTGATGCCAGACTGTGTCTGCCACCAGGCACACTGAGGCCCAAACATCTCACAGTGAAGAAGGCCCCTCCATGTGGAGAGAAGGTGACGCAAAGGATGCTAAGCCCCAGTCCTGCCGGCAGGCTCATCCCATGAAGCAGCCTCTGGGCTGAGAGGCATTGTCTTCAGGCCCAGAGAGGTCTGGCAAATTGGACCTAATTTGAAGGGAGGGGAATGAGGTACCGAGAACAGGAAAACAAAGAATCACTGGGCTCCGCCAAAGTTCCAACTGGGTCTTAATTAGGCACCGTTGTTCTAAGAAGAACCTCATTATTAAGCCTCTGACCAGATGTGACACCGTGCAGTCTCTGAAAGGGAACTTGGTGCTAAGGGCACCCAGCTGGATGTGCTTGCCCTAATTTGGCGGCGGTGGCAGGCCTGCCTGCGACTCTGAAGAGCTAGCGAGCGTGAAAGGCCCGTCGCAGGTCTACACCTGCAAACAACCCATCCGGTGCCTGCCCGGGCTGGGCTGTCACGAGTCAGGTCTCATTATTCAGAATGTAATGAAGCTGTGAGTTTGTTTCTCTCCAAGGGCACAGGGCCTCGAGCCCAGGCAAAGAATCTCTGCTCATGGAAGGAGGTGTGAGCGTGATGAGACACACGTGATTTGAGGGGGTTGCTTTACCACACACCTAAGGGCTAGGGGTGGAGGGTGGGAGGAGCCTCTCACCAAACACTTCTGATTGTAATGAGAAAGACGGCCAGGACATCTTGCCACCCCTGGAGCAGGCAACCTTGGACAAAGGAGGTACAGTGACTTGTAAGAGCTTCTGCAAGCTTCATTTCCAGCACATGCAGGCACCTACCACTGCGGAGGAATGACAAACAGGGGTAAGTTGAATTCCCATCACAAGCCATCTCAGTTAGAAAGGGAGAGAGAGAGGGAGAGGGGGAGAGAGAGGGGGAGAGAGGAGGGAGGGGGGAGGGGGACTGAGATAGAGGGAGAGAGAGGCAGGTTGGGGGTGGGGGTGATGGTAGGGAAACTGGGGACACTGGAGCTGGGAAAATGGAAGGGATGGGTGTTGGAACACTGTATCACTGAAACCTGGTCATGAACAGCTTTGTGAAGGTGTATCTCACATTGATTCAATAAAAAAAAAAATCTTTAAAAAAAAAAAGAAGGGACTGGA